TACATTCTCGCTATGTAAACCTAACAGCGCGGTGGGAGCAACCTTGAAGTGGAACCACCCTCAGTATAAATGATATTAGCCTTCAATATTATAATTTTGTATTTAAAAAAAAGTCAAGTTTATGGTCAATTAGAAAGAAAAGAAAACGTTCCGCTAGAGTTTACAATTTAATACTTACAGTTAGTTGAAGATTAAAATTCCAATGTTGAATGGGCGAGTTATAGATCTCGTTCCACTTTCAACTTAATTTCATTAAATTCATTTCGTTTATAACAATAAGTTTCAATATTGTAACAAGATGTAATAATTTCAAAATCTTGATTAGGGGGATATGCAGGGAGTATCAACGTCTATAGTCCACCCATTTAATTCAGAAACGATTAACTTTAGCAAAGAGGTCCTATACGAACCTCAAGTTAATTTTGGCTAGGAATCGCGCGGTGGTAACAGATTTAACATAATTTTCTCAGTTTGCTGGGAAATGACACTAACTTTGTTTTTTTAAATGAGAATCTCATATTTTTATTGTACTATTCGATTCTAGAGCTTATTTTAAGCGACTTTTACTGAAAGGAAAATTTTGATAAAATCGACCATTTCTGAGTTATGTCCGATTTTTTCTTTTGCAAACAAAATATATGTTCTCACTTGTTTTGACCGAGTTATGGTATTATCTTCCATTTTGTTTTAGCTTCCTTATCTAATTGTAAATATGTATTAAAAAATATAAATGTTTCGACGTTCTGTTATGTCTAGTTAAATTTCGAATGTCAAAGACCTCTCTTATTGTAATTTTTGTTATTGTTATCTTCTCAAAGTTAATCCTCTTGAAATCATTTGGATTCTATGGCACAATAATGTATATCTGAATATTCATTTCATATTCTCCTTTACAACAAAAATGTATACAAGCGCGGAAAAGAGAGATATGCTTGTTGCTTTTGATGATCCTGGGCAGAGTTCTTTTTCTTCAAATATTAATATAGGCTAAGCCTAAAAACAATCCATGATCCGTATCCTACGATTCCAATCCTAAATTAACTCGTTTTCGAAATAAACGGGGAGGACCATCTTGTAACAAAAGGGTCCCCTCACGCGTCTTCTCTCCATTTTTTGCTTACGTTAATCATTTCCGAATTAAATGGGTGGCCTATAGAAGTTGATACACCCTGTATATTCCTGAAAAGCTTGAAGAAGGAATTAAAAGTTTTCCTTTTTTCAAATCGACCTCAACCCTGACATTTTAAACAAAATTATAAAATTTTAGGTTTGTAACAAATTTCAAAATCAAACGTAAGCCATTTTCAAGAGTTAAGAGGCCGAATTTACTGCAGTCTAAGTAAAAGTAGCGATTGTTGTTATGTGTTTTCAGTTTAAGTTCATTCTGTAAAAAATAAATTAAGTTTTAACTAGTTTATAATAAAAGTATCACTTTAGGATGTGCCAAAGATTATTAACTGAATTAATTTACTTTTATTTTCTTTAAATCTAGCGTTCATTATATCATTTAGTTTTATTGTATACTTGACCTATTACTTTTATCTTTTTGTGCTGAACGTTTATTATCCAACAGAACGATAGAATAGTTTAAAAAAAATTTTTAAGTGAAAGTTTAAGTTTGTTTTTTGTTTTGAATATATGAGAAGTACACAAATAAATTTTGATATACCCTTAACTCTTATCAAAAATTCAACTCTCTTTATATTTAAATGACTACAACAAGAAAACTGAGTGAAGAATCATTATTGTTAAAAACTACACCGTTGATACAAGTTTATAATATTTTTTTACATTATAAAATAATCTGGGAAAAATTAGAATTATGAATCATATACATAACGTCACCTTATAAGTAAATAAGTTATATTTCGTAGACATGTATATGTACTAATTTTCTCCTATCATACTGTTTCAGATTAAAATATTCAAATATAGTTATTCAGATATCGTGAGATGCGGTCGGGTGTGATGTAGGTTTCAGAAAAAGATTTTCTTTATCGTGCCAACGTTTCGATCTTTTATTGAGATCATCTTCAGGGCTGATCTCAATAAAAGATCGAAACGTTGGCACGATAAAGAAAATGTTTTTCTGAAACCTACATCACACCCGACCGCATCTCACGATATCTGAATAACTATCGATTAACGGTCACTACACATATTCAAATATATCTGACTTTTCACACACTAACACTAAAGTTTCAAATAAATTCCCCAATTACTGGAGTTGGAATATTTAAAAAATTTTACAGTTCCTTTGAAGGAGACACCACATTATAAGCACTATTAAAAATATTTGTTACAAAATTGTTCGCAAGTTATTTAATGCTAAAATGTTTACTCACACAAATAGCAAAATATCTAAAAAAAAAATGTGGTTTTTCTCTGAACTACAAAATTGGCCAATCTTATTAACTGGAATAACCAACGAAAGTTCTATAATTATGTAAATTTGAACGATCTTGACTCATGACTTTCACAGAAACGGAACATCCAATTAATGTCGCGTTGGAAAATTAAAAGACGAAGGTCAAAAAAAACTTTAACCTGTGTTGCGAAAAAATGTAAAATCTTCGGAGATCTTGCTGTGAAAAAGTGGAATTAGAATATATTTAGAAATAGACAAATATATCGTTACAATTCAACTCACCAAATCTTAATTTCTTATAATGATTTTTGGCAGTACAATGTGTATAATTATTTTAAGGACAAATTTAACTGTTTGTTTAAAAATCAATAATTATTATAGGTAATTTTTTTGATGGAGTTGTTTTCAGTTAGTATGTAATTGTATACTTTTTATTCGATATACATTTTTTACGCTATTCAAAAATTTATTCTATTATGAATCTTTAATTCTGCATACAACTCCAGCCCTCTACACAAGGGAAATTCTTTCAGAGGACTGGCCCGAAAGGCATGGAAAACACTTAACAATAAATATAAACGATATAACAGAAATTAATTATTTCTATCCTTTTTAAAAAGATAGTTCCTACTCACAGTAAGTTTTTTGCAACGATTTCGAGCCTTTTAGCTCATCATCAGGTTGAAGGACTCTACAACCACGTCTCTCGACATGAATTGCCAAAGTGAACCCGCCGTTCTTCAACCTGATGATGAGCTAAAAGGCTCGAAATCCGGATCGTTGCAAAACAACTTACTGTGAGTAGGAACTATCTTTTTAAAAAGGATTGAACACCACACTCACTCCATCATTTATCATTTCTATTAATTCTTTCTAAATGTCATTTGTCTTGAAATCCAGCGGTCCTGCATTCGAACCCGGGACTATTACCTTACAGTGATGATCGCCGTGTCAACGCCTAAACAGTGGCGGCCACCGACGCCCCTTTTTTGTGTTTTTTTCGTATTACACTATCATCAAATCATTAGGTTTAAATGTTTTTTTGTGTCTATGGAAAGAATTGTTATTACAGAATTTTTGTCATGTTTTTAACTTGCACAGGCCCATCACTGAAGATGGAGAAATACCCAAATACGTCTGACAGACCAACATATTGAGAAAAGGCAGAACAGGATGATCATATTTTGTATGAACATATACATGCCCAACTTTGAATGTCAAATTTTATGGCTTAATTAAATATCATTAAACGGCAGGAAATTATCCTTGATCAACAAGAAATTGAATTATTTACCGCATACTAAAAATAATTCAAAGAAGAAGAATCACAAGGTCACTGTTTAGGTCTTTCAGATTTTATCACATTATATATATATATATATACATTATGTAGTATACAATTATGCTCTCTTGATAAATTATCATACACTATATACTTATTGAACATACATTAGAAATACTTAATAGTGACCGCTCTCATAAAATGTTTTTCGCAGTCAAACGCGGAAAATGGAAGCAATTCCTATTGGAATATTAACTTTTGGCAAGGATTCATTCAGGCTTTCACTCTCGTTCATTAACAATCTCGATCGGAACGCGACGAGGACGTCAAATTTTGTTTCGTCCTGGAAACAAGGATCCTTGAGAGTTTTTATTGTTATTGGACACTGGTCCTTGAAGTGTATTGGATCATACGATGATCTCACGTCTCCTCAGTACTACGGTCTTCCTAAATTTTCATTGGGAAACATTGTGGCAATAACCTTTCAAACAAGAACTAGGTCAATTGTCGTGGAATGGATTTCATAAAACATTATATCCAGAATTATTTGTTCCCATGTTAATGAATATGGCGTAATTTTACTATTGCGCCTGTTTTGCCATAAATGTACCATGTTATGCTCAATGATAATTAAAAAATCTGTTGAAAAGCGAAAATTAAAACAGTTTATTTTTATGAGCATGGCGTTTACTTAATAATTTCGTATTGACATCGTCTCAAATAGGCAATTAAATAATTCGCGTCGTGCTTTCAATTAAAGTTTTCAGCAACTAACAAAAACAAACAAACTTGTTATGTTCTGGTCTCGTTGTGCAACCAAACTCGTTCTTATGACCAATTCAATAAATGAAGGGATTAGAAGTCTTACTTTTCGAAAACGAGGAGATGCCTTCTTGTTTGGACACTCGATATGGTTGTATACTTGGGCTTTCGGACTGTAAAACAACTCGATAAGTAGATGCAGTCAATCACACAAACCACGTTTAACGATACTGAACGTGTGTTTTAAGAACTAAGTAGTTTGTCCTACGCTTCGTGGTACATGTCAAGTCTGTAGTTGTAATTACAGTAGAGGGGGATCTGGGAGAAGGAAGCAACATCAGCACTCTTGACTATCGGGAAGGTTGAACACCGAAAAGATGCGTCTTTTTATTAATTTTATTATTACAATGTTAACCTAGGGTTATTATTTTTTGGCACGGAAAATCGTTTTATTTCTAAGTAAATACATTAGTTTAAGGATTGCTGATTGGACAGGAAAAATACGACGGAAGATGTCGGTTTTCATCAGGGCGTGTCAGCCGGTGATTGTGGAAGCTGCGAGCACCCCCTTCCTAGTTTGCGAAGAAGGTCCTTGAAATGAACAGGAAAGGAGAAGTAGTATATAAGTGAAAGGTTCCCCCATAACCTGGTCTCAGTTGCTCTGTTTCGAATCAAGCCGATATGATTAGGACTGTAAGTACTTTCGTTGATTATGAATTTTTTAAAGTATTTTGTTAAGAGATGACCTTGTGTTGAATAGTTATTGCAGGTTATTTACACTGTTTATCTTTTTAGGTTTTTATATTAGCTCTAGCAGCCTACGTAGCGGCACAATACCGCGACGATCCCAGGAATGCCGCCATTCTCACAGAATCGAGATACCTCAACGGCGATGGAAAATTCGGCGCAGCTTACACTCAGGAAGACGGAGTAGAATTCAAAGAAGAATCCGACCCCGATGGCACCAGGAGGGGAACTTACAGCTACGTCGATCCGTCCGGCCAAAGGAGGACGGTCTCTTACACCGCGGGAAAGAACGGATTCCAAGCTTCAGGAGACCATCTCCCTGTCGGGCCCAACCCTCAGCCCCCGACCCCGGGATACACTCCTCTCCCCCAGTACAACCCTCCTCCACAACAACAGTACAGGACTCAACCCCAGCAATATCCTGCACCTGTCCAAGAATACAGAGCCCAGCCCCAGTACCAACCGCAACCACAATACCAGCCAAGACCCCAACCCCAACCCCAGTACCAGCCAAGACCCCAGCCCCAACCACAGTACCAGCCTAGACCTCAACCTCAGCCACAGTATCAACCTCAACCGCAATACCAGCCCCAAGTCCCCAGGTACACCACCACCCCCGCCCCTCACAGGTTTTTTCCTCCAGGAAAACTCAGCCTGAACAGATCACCCGATGGCTTCAGCTACACCTTCAACAAAGCTTAAACTGTATTAAATGTTAATATTTATATGCAAAACTTTTAGTCATAAAATATAATTGTTAAGTTTGTACTTAATACTAGTTCATTTTATAAACAATCCTCATTCCTTTGCTACAAATGCTACAAAAACGTGATTTGATAAGGTAAACAACGTAAGTTCTTTCGAAATATATATGTATGCCTTTGATTAAATCAGCATCATAATACAACTATTTATTTTATATATATATATATATATATATATATATATATATATATATATATATATGAAAAAACGCATAATTAAGTACCTGAAATAAATAAACCAATAAAACAGAGACACTAAGGAGTGAGACAGAACAGGATCTGGTAAAACAGGTCCTTTTTAATGGTGACGTTAGGAATTAGTTTTATGCTTCGTCCTTGGTAAGAACAAGAGTGAGAAAGGGTCCTTGGGAGCCGTTAGGAAGCCGCGCCCAACTTCACACTTTTCTGGGCCGGCCGCGCTTCGTCCTTGCACCCGATCCTGACCTTAAGGAAGGTGACTCCTGGTGTCTTCCACCTTCCGAACACCGCCACGCCGCTCTCTCCCTGTCTCGAGACCGAACATTTTTCTTTAACCGGTACTCTTTTATTCTTGTTAATTATTTTATTTATTATTTTAATAAGATTTTTTATTTTTTTATAAACGTACCTTCCTAACGGTTAGAGAAATAGTGGAAAATAAGTCAATGGCGAAAAGACAGATTACTCAATCAAATATTCAAGTCAAGATGGATAATTATTGTAGATGTAGTCTCAATTCTTTTAGAATTTTTCCTTTCTTCTTTTACTTCTTTCCTTATGAAATATTCCAAATTTATCAAGAACGAGAAAGGTTTACAAACCTCATGATCATTATTAAGGTCTTCAAGGACAAAAGTCATCTGTCATCTTAGTGTTTTGGAATATGTTTAATATTTTTATTTTAATAGTGATACAAATTCCAATTTTGAGAAAAATCAACGAACTATAAACTATAACGGGAAAAGGAATGTTAATTATGCAAACCAGGAATTTAGAACAACAGCAAAAAAAGGAAAGATGTTTCGAAAGAAAACACACTGACCGAGACTTTAATGTAACAGCATGCAAAGATTGTTCGGAGAGGGGAAAAGTGTGCAAGGCAGGACGTTATCCACGCCAAGGTTGCGCAAATGACCAAAAGGATAGCCAACAAGAAAGGGAGAGGATGTTGGATCACGATCTTCAAGCGTGTAACGGGCCGCCGACTCGCGGTCACTCGCACACACGAACATCTACGTATTTATGAGTTCGCTTTTCATTCGGTTACTTTTTTTCTATTTCAAAAAAATGTCCTGTCACGTCTTGTTAACTCAACCAATCGATTTACTGCCGTGGCAGTAATAGTGAAATTGTCGTTTTAAGTTCCTCGTAGAACGTGGCGTGAAGCCGAAAGTGTAACATTTAGTTTCGAGTAAAATAAATCCGCGACTGTAGACGGACCCAGCAAGGTGATCAAGTGGCAATCAGTTCAGCATAAAATAAAGAAAGACCACATCATCAAATCATTACCGCCAAAATGGAACACAATTTCCTTTTGTCTGTCTCCTAGTTTGTAATATATATCTATGTGTACAGAACCAAATTACATCAATATTGAATTTTGTACAATCCAAGGGAAAATTAAAGTTGGAATGCAAAGATGTGACGCCGTCGGAAAAGAAGACCGAATTCGAATACCGTGAGTTCGATTCCCACCCACAACATATCTTTTCATCTCCATTTTTAATTGTTAAATAATACTCCACTTACCCTAAAAACTATGATTAAAGAAAATTAAATTTACCACTACGTTATTTTATCACTTCTTTTCACGTACATATTTACAAATAAGAAACCAAAATTGACATATAAAAAAATAAAAATATGGCTTTATACTGTAGTCAATAAGAAATAGTAAAAGTAATAAAATTGTAATGATTTAAACTCCCAAAATTGTGACTCTTCGATCAAAGAGGTAATCTGAAGGAAGGTCGGGGCTTAATGAAGAGAAACATATGAATTCCACTAATCCATTTTTTGTGAACATACTGATGTGAGATTTTATGAATATTCAAGGTGCCACAGGATATCAACTTACTAGTGTGCCTTATTAACAGGTTTTTGTAATTAAAAAAAAATCGTCCTCACCCGACTGAGGATTGGCCATACGCGGTTGACACACGGGCACCTGCTCTTGGGCCAAAGCCCGCGCTGGTGCCTCTTATGCGGAAAAAGGTTGCTCGATGTGTCTCACATACTAGAGGCGTGTCATGCCTTGGCTCCATACAGAGAGCGTGTAGGCCACCGGATTTAAGAATGGTTCTCAGACACGGTAGCGAGTTTCAGGGTCCCCTGTTCCGCCTTTTGAGTAATCGGGAATTTTTTATTGTATATAGTCTTCAAAATATGTGTTTTCTGTTTCTGTGTTTTGTATGAATGAGTGTAATTATTAGAATGAATGGGGAGGGGCTGATGGTGGAATAACAACCCCAACGCCCCTCGAGCTGTGTACATGACTTGGTTCGATGGCGGAATATTTATAAAAGTACCCTATCGACCCCAATTAGATTAGTTTGTTATTGTGCAGGTTGATGGAGGAATATTGAGTACTCCTTCCATCAAATAGATAGGTGTGAATGTATTTATTTGTGTGAATGCATGTTGAATGTGTGTTGCAATATTTCGCACGCGCTTGGGGCTAAAATGACAAAGCTGTGCCCCTGTCCAAAAAAAAGCATACAATGATTTAGGTAATTAATATAAATTTGGATACCTTATAGAAATAAACGTCTAAAAATGGATTAACTTTATTTACTTATGCTTTACGAAATTTTTGACTTCATTTGTGTTAGAGTTAGTTAATATTTCTTTTATAAATTCATCCTTCGTTGGTCGTAAATATTATGAGGATCTAGTTAAGAGCAAGCCTCTGCCACACGACGTGTTTTTTCTCCAAGTTTATTACGGTCTTATAATTTTCATTAATTTTATTGTTTAATTAAAACAGCCCTAGAGATTCCAGTGGACATAAATAGTATAAAACAAATACAATTTGCAAACCAAAATTTCTTTTTGACATAGTATTTTGGCACCCTGTGTATATTATGTAGTGTATTCTTTATACGTACATACAATTGTAAAGAGATCTTATATAGAAAAAATGTTTAATATTTTGTCTTAGAAAATTTACTGAGTGAACAAGAAGGCACTTCTTGAAATCGATGTTTCTTATATACTGCTTGTACTTTACATAGTTATATGGATATGCATTTATGTATGTTCGTACTAATAGAGGCCCAGACGTCTTCCTTCGCATTTTTTTATTTGTTAATTTGCAAACTTACCAATTAATTGTACAGACTGTTGAAACGAATTTTGATCCCTGGCTTACGTGTGGCTGGTTAGACAGATGAATATTGCCTGTGATTATAGTTTTATTATTAATTTTTTTTTCCAGTTCGTATACATCTTATGTTTTATCCTGTTGCAAGGTAACGACAAAGTGTAACATTTATCAGATTTTTCTTATGCAATTTGTTTAAAATTAATCACTTTCCTGATGATTTTATTGATTGTTAACCTTTTGTATAATATAATGTTATTTTTGTAGTGCGTGATGTACCAAATTTGTGAATAATATTTTGTGGAGTGTATTAAGGACCGATGGTGAATAAAAGACCCTAATTGTATTTTTAATTTGGTAAGTTGCATAATCATGATTTTGTGAGCAATAAATAAATAATACCTCAAGTTCGTAAACACTTACCAGGCTGACGGGCGATGTCCATGCCTTAATGTATTTTGTGCTATTTTTATTACTTTTTGCTTTAAAAAAAAAAAAATATATATATATATATAAACACCTTTATCTCCGTATCTATCTTCATAAACATTTTATATCTTTCAATTTGTGTACGTAATAAAACATATAATTAAAAAATTGATTTATTCTCGATATTTTGCTTCAGAATTGGTTTACGTAATATGATCGGACTGAGAAAAAATCTGCATTACCTGTTGTTGCTTGATATATTTTAATAAAATTATGGCATTTATAATGAAATGATAAGTTTACGCATTTGTCCATTTTTTGTTGATGTTTGAGGTTTAATTATACCGAATTTCCCTTTGTTTCCTGAGTTTGTATGGATTATTCCTTGATTGTTGAACAGTGCTGAATAATTTTTCCCCAAATATCAGCAGTCGTATTATTCTTTAAAATAAAATGCAAGGTCAGGATTTTTGAAGGATCGCTCAAATCACTCGGTAGGCGAAAAAAAATCGACATCGCAGATTATAAATCTTTAATTGATTATATATAAAAATTATAATTAATGTAAAAAATCCCCCTTATTTGCTTATTTTATTGAACCTTTTCGTGAAGGGTAACATTTACTAATAACCGTTATTAATAATAACTAATAATGATGCAGCGTATTTGATTTTCAAAACTTTCTTTTTCCTGCAGATCCTATTTCACGAAACCGTGGGACAACAATTAAAAATATATTTACATGTTTTGGTGATTAGTTTATTGGTATGTTTGTATTTGAGAAAAATTCCCTTTCTAAAAATTCACCCATTCATTGGAATGAGTTTTGATTTTTGAATTTAATTCAAATATTTTATATGGTTAATAATTATTATTGAAACTTGAAACGGGAAGAGTATCTGCAACAAATAAATAAATTGAATATAATTTTTGATTTTTAATGGTATAAATATAATTTTATATATTTAATGATATATAAGAATACTGAATTGATATAATTGTTTTAATATTAGAGCATAACTAACACATGTATACGTGAAGATTTTTTACACATAAAATATTTTAATGTTTTAATGCCAGCAGAAATAATCAATATATACTAAAAACCTTGATTTTTTTAGGAATTGGAAAGGAAATGGAAATAACGAAGTAAACAATATTTTTAAAAAAAATCTATTTGAATTTAAATAGATGTTTGTATTAACATAAGTACACAGTTTTGTATCATTGTATCATCATCATAATCACGTATAAAACAAAGGAAAAGTCAATGGACGAAAAAAATAATTTATTTGACCCCGGAGAGGGTTTACCGAAGGCTGTCGATCTGCCTTTAATTCTTCGAAATTGTAAACTAAATACCTAACCTAAATTAACGAGATCAGTACCTAGCGTCGAAGGAATATTGGCCGTTTCCGTTGGGCAAGCTGTTTGGGTGAGCCTGTTGGTACGCTTGGGGCTGATATTGGGACTGGGGAGGTGCATAGGCGGGTTGTTGGTAAGCTTGAGGTTGGGGACGGTACGCAGGGCCGGCTTGTGGTACGTATGCGGGCTGCGGTGTGCCCTGGGGAGCGTACGCGGCCTGTGGTGGCGCGGCTTGGGGTTGCGGGGCAGGTCCGACGGGAAGATGATCTCCAGAGGCCTGGAAGCCGTCTTTGCCAGCGGTGTACGTGACTGTCCTCCTCTGTCCGGAGGGGTCGACGTAGCTGTAAGATCCCCTCCTGGTTCCATCGGGGGAAGCTTCTTCCTTGAACTGGACTCCGTCGTCTTGGGTGTAGGACGCTCCGAATTTTCCGTCACCGTTCAAATACCTCTGTTCGGTAAGGATGGCGGCGTTCTTTGGGTCGGTGACGTACTGTTCGGGTTGCTGGCTGCGGTACTGGGGTGGCGTGGGGCGGAAGAAGGATTGTTGTTGAGCCTGGTAGTAATCCTGGGGTTGGTACTCTTGCGGTTGTTGGAACTGTTGCGGTTGTTGATACTGTTGCTGATGCAATTGTTGTTGGGGTTCGCCTGAGTAGTCTTCAACCTCGGTGTGCTTGTAAGGATCTTCGTATTTGGCAGGGTTGTAAGAGCCATCATCGTTATCGCTGCTACTCAACGGCACTCGGGCCAAACAGAGGCCCAAAAGTCCACAAAAGACGTATACCTAATTGAAAATAAAATAATCATCATACATATCGAATAATTTTAAAATGTCAAGCAAGAAAACGCTTTGAAAAACTGGGAAAATTTTTGCTTTTTTAAAAAGAAAAAACACTTGAACGACAAAATTGTGCTTAACGCAAGATCTACAAGTCGATTTTTGTTTTTCACTTTTTGAACGCCAATTCCCGCTGTGTACCAAGTCAAAAGTGTTTCGATCGATACATCAAAAATAATCATTAACAATCATTTATTGGATCATTTTGTCAAGGGTTTATTTGAAATATTCTGAGGAACTTGACTCATTTTCTTTAGTTACATATACAATGCAACACCACACATAATATAAATAGCACACAGGCATAGATAATTTAACACTGTTGTAATTTTTTAGTTCAATTATGATTTGTGAAGAGCGCACAGAAGTTAAATTTTTCCCATAAGAAGAATGCAATATGTTATCCTTCAACCTTACTGTAAAGTACTCCTTTCTAAAAGAAACAATGTTGAAGCGGATTGCTAAACGTTAAAATACACAATGCAAAATCACAAAATACTGTAGATCCATTTTTAAGGCAAAATTTTTGTTCGATTAAAACTTCGTTCTTGGAGCGTTCAAATCACCAGAAAAGCTGTGATATTCTATTGCTAATTTATCGTTGGTTGCAGAACTGAGCTAAAGACGCCTTAGACTAGGCGAACCGGAAAAAAGTTACTCAGTTTGGTTCAAGGGCGAATACAAGAAATCAAAACCGGTGCCCGTTATCCACTTTTACGTCCGATTCGAATCACGTTTTGCCCATAAAATCAAACTAGCTATATTACACGATTAAATCAATCTCCCAGGTCAATCCGTCCATAAACGCGTCACTACACCCCAGCTTTTTAATCATACTTACGGATTTCATGTTCGCTGGAGCTCTCACTTGAAGTGCAACTCGGAAATGGGTTGAAAAGACGGCCCCGTGGATATTTATAGCCCGCCGAGGAGGGATTATGGTCTTGCACACAAATGGTAGTAGGGGTACAGAACCAATGCCAACCGGGCGGGTTTGCTATTGTTCCCTCTGCCACGCCTGCCCCTCAGCCGGTACTTTTTCGAAAATTTTCGATTTATTTCCGGTTCCATTTTTTGCCTCCAGGAAATCGATTTATTATCAAAGCAAATATTTAATTCATAAACTGATTAGCACGCAATTTTCATAACGAAACTTGTCTGCCTTTCCTCGCGATTTCGGTCTGTAAGACGCGTTCCGGCTTCTCACATCTTCAGTTGGGGGGGGATGTTCAAAAAATCATGAATTCTCATAACTTGCTAATACTAAAAAGTCAATTTTGTACAGCATAGGCGAGATAATTAGAAAAAATCTTTTTAAAGTGCAATCCATAGCAATTTTATTAACTTACAAAGAAAATTATGTTTTCTACTACATTAACTTTTTGTATATATAATGCATAGTAAAAACTAACAAATAGATCCATATTAATGTTTTTATTAAAAACATATAAGCAATTACTATCTTTTTAACTTTTATTATTTGTTATTTTAATTTGTAGGTACGATTAGTATAATGAGATTGTAGTATCTACCAAGAAAGCTTATGAGAGGACGGGAAGAAAATTAGGTCCCGAAAATGCATAAGCAAATAAAAACAAAAATATAAAAATAAACCGGTCCATTGAAAAAACCACGAAATATGAAGGGAATTAAAAAACAACCCAAGAATAGAAAACAAAGAAAAAAGTTTAAACTAAAAAGTGTTGTTTGTTTTTATTACCGTTTATGGTTATTATCGTCGTTATTACAACTCAGAAGAAATATTCCTTGCCTACTTGGTATCGGTTAATTTCAGATTTTGTCATTATAAATCTATAATTAAATTGTTAATATCAACCTTTTTCTTTTATATATTACACTTTTACATGTGCGAAAGACGTTAATAAAAAATAATCGTACGTTTTTTCAGTTATGATGGTAAACCGCCTGCTTGAATTCAGTGGAACACTGACAGTCCAAAGGTTGCTAATTTTACATAATAATGTTGCTTTTTAAAAATAATTATTAATATTAAGCCTTATCGTGGCGACACGAATTTTTAAGTGCTCACATCTTTGAGCGATCTACAATTCAGATAAGGTCACTAACCACCCGCATAATTATGAAACCAGCATTTCAGCATTAGCAATTATGCCTTCCAAGGGCAATTTTAATATATTTATACGGTAAATTTGATTTGTTTTTATTTTTTAATTTAAAAAAAAAGCTGTCATGCTGAGTTTTTGATGGTTGTTTGTTGTTTGGTAGTATCTAATCATCCCGATCCTGTTCTCCGTGTGTTCTCTCTCCGTTTCTATAAACATACATAAATAAAGCAAGTTAAAACGATCATCAATTAAATTTGTCTTGTATTGGATAGTTTTGTTTTTTATGAAAAATATTCAATCTATTAGGTTTCGTTATTTTCTCATTTTGTTCGTGATTATTTTTTTGTTTTTTTTAAACAAGGAAAATTTATTTAGAGCTATAATTTTTCATTAATGCACCGAATAAATTCTTCAGTCTAAACTATTTTAAATTATATGCTTCTTTGTTCTATTGATAAGCGTTTAAAGGCCATATTGCCAGATTTTTCTTTGTCCAACCCTTCTCGAGCTAGCAGCCTTAGGAACTCAAAAGTTCTTCTTGTGTCATTCCGGTTCAATTTGGCTATAAAATTTAACTTTCTCACTGCCCTTCATTTCACGAATGATTTCATCTCGCTTAGTCTATTTGTGAACAGTTAGACTTTTTTCCTTCGATAGATCGCGAATGCGTCACGAATGAATACACTTATTGAGAATATAACCTTTTACTTTCAGTTAAATATTTTAAATAGATTTTTTTTATAACAAACTGTTTATATTTTCTTTATAAAATACGAGTAATAAAATATTTTTAAAAAATAAAATACTTTTATTTGTTAAAATACAGTGAAAATCGATTAACTTCAACCTTTTTAAATGATCAACACGTAGGTAGAAACATCAAACGTTTTCCATAAATTTTTGTATACATTTTCAAGCGGCCATTCTTTTATGAAGGTGTGGAATGGAATTTCTATTAAAAGGTTATTCATTCAAAACTTGGAATGTAAAAACCATTTTATTCAGAAGATCTACAGCCCTGCTTAGCCATTCATTTTTCAATGTGGACACCACTAATTTAAATTTTATTGGGGTAGAAATTGTCTGTCAGGTGGATGCTTTCCATAACTTAGCTCTAAGTAGGCAGGTTGCTCTGTCCTGTCTCATTTCTCATGTGGGTTTTTTCTTAAAAAAAAAATATATATATATATATATATATATTTATGTTCACCTGGTTTCACTGTTTTCCTCTTCATTTTATTTCTTGAGGCAGATTTTCTTCATAAATTCCGAGGCGGTTTTGTTCATTATATCACACATTTTCGGTTGAGTTTCTGCTTTATCTCCCGATCGATAGGATCTGAGAAACTAAACAAATTGCAATTTAGATATTACAATCGTTTACATTTAATAGAGTCTTTTCCTTATTTTAATCCCTAAACTTTGACTTTTTTACTCCTCATTCTTATATTAAAATATGTCTTAAATTGTTTATATATTTTAATTTATTTTTCCTTTTATCCAAAAAAAATTGTACTTCATGAAAGTAATAACATAATTATAAAATTTAATTCACTAGTTTTCGTGATCCGCTTGACCAATTAGCCTTTCCATTAATTAAGGTTTTTAGTTGAGATAAAAAAGTCAGTGTCACGAGCGGGATTCGAACCCACGACCTTAGGTTAGATAGGCCGCTACTCGAGTGCTAGAGTAAATAGACTCTAGCTATAGCTCAAGTGGTAGAGTAGCGGCCTATCTAGCCGAAGATCGTGGGTTCGAATCCCGCTCGTTACAATGACTTTTTTATCTCAACTAAAAACCTTAATTAATGGAAAGGTATAAAATTTAAGTGAATATAAACAAAACTTAACATTCAAGAATAGAACTTAAGTCATTCAAAAACAAAGAAAACAGGATTGCTTAATAGACATCCTTGTCTCACACCGCTTTTAATTTTAAAAAAATCCGAAATATGATTGTAATATTGTATAGCTGAAACTGTAAAACCAAACATGATTTTAGGATTTTCAATAAACTTATTCTCCTTCTTATAAACTTTATAACCAACAATTTTTCAGGCATACTGGAAAATATTTCTAACGAGGACCAGAAACCGTTTAATTTTCTTACATGCGATTGAATTGAATAAGGCAACTGGCAAACGGCCGAATTGCCATTTCCCACACGTGTTACACGAACGAAGCCGGATCTCCTTGCCACTAATTGTTCAGGAAGGAAGGAAGTGAAAAATCTTAAATGCGAAAATCAACATAATCGCCCTGGTTAATGTCAAAGGTTGTGGATTAGAGGAAAGGAAAAAAAACGACATTGATGTCTTGGATTAAGAACGAAGCTGAAATCTGACCCCATTAGGTTTTCATTTCTTGTATCATAACAATTAGAACGCACGCGTTAAAAACGAACACTTTATAGGAGAAAAACATAAGAAAATACTACTAACGATACTTAACTGAACAAAAGAAAATTAAACAGCACGTAGTGTTTACCATGAAAATGTATCAATAATAATCAACTGTAATTAACTTTTTTTTAAATCAAGGTGATGGATAAACTCATTGCTTTATATCTCATCTTTTCATTCAATAGAATTTAAATTTTTTACAAACCATAAAGATTCATGCTTTAACAATGTAATTACAAGGTAAGATCGGTTTCATTCATAATTGCATTTCTCCTTCGATTTCTCGCGAAGCTTGCTTAAATATTTAAATTATTTCCCCCGCATTATTATAGTTTTCTTCGGCTAGTTATATTGGGTAAAGGGGATATTAGGAAATTGTTTTTTGAGTTCTCGCTGATCTTGAAACCTAAACAGTTACATAAGTAATTAATAAGAATAACCACATGCATGAACCTTTTTTACGAAACATTCATTATGTATCAATATGTTAACGGCATTTTTTTTAATATTATCTCATTTCAATGGGGGGTTGCAACGGTTAAGGTGTTGGTAGTCACGGCGTTCATCAATATAAGGTAAAGGCCCCTGCATTCGAACCTGACATACTCATATTTATTTTTCAAAAACAGCGACACCCTGAGAGTTAATATGACCTCTGCTGTTGCGAACCTTCGTGAAAAAAAATCCCGTTTCAATAATTGGTTGATTAGATATGACGAGACTAAGATATGACGCGTAGCGTGAAAGTGGAAACGTTGATTTAAATTTAATTTTTTCCCAATTTTCATTACATAAAACATTTCTTACTCTTACTGTGTGTCACCCTCTGCTGGATCCCGAAATGTAGGCGTAGAGGGCAACGAGAGAGTGACATCCTTGCAAAAGAAAGGGCTGCCGTAGGGCTGATAGGTTCTTCTGTGACATTGGGATTCAAACTATCAAGAATCTTAGAGAAAAAGATAAAACGAAAATGACCTTCTGGCAAATTTTGGAAAGAAAGAAACAACAGACTTCATCAAAGGAAGCAGGAAAGAGCCTCGATCCTGACAGGACTAGCTCTTAAATGGCACAGTATATTACATGCCCCGAACATACTCTCTCATTCTCTCATTCTCTCTCTCTCTCTCTCTCTCTCTCTCTCTCTCTCTCTCTCTCGATGTCTGCACGCTTGTCTCTTTCTCTCTTATTTCCACTGTTAACCATTCATTCTCTCCCTTTTCTTCTACCTCTTTCTCTTTGAGCCTAAATTTATTCATTTCGTTTGTACCTTTCGTTCTTTCACTCTGTCTAACTATACCTTTCTCTCTCTTTCTCTCTCTCTCTCTCTCTCTCTCTCTCTCTCTCTCCCCCCCTTTTTTTATCTACCTATCTGGTTTTCTCTGAATCTTCTCTCGCTCTTTCTCACTCTCCACTCTATCCTTGACTTTTTCTATCGCGCTTTATTTAATTCTCTA